TGTCTGGAAGCTAGGGTTTCTAAACCGGTATTTTGAAACAGGTCTGCCACTCTGAGGACGGGATTTCAAAAGACGGGGCTAATTTCTGTATATACATATTATTTGTTAAAATAGATATTTATTTTTAAATGCTTAATTTGATGGAAATGCTCCTCTATAGACATATTAAATTGGCTTTTAATTGTACAAAAAGTGTGCACCCATACATCGGATGCACATTTGCCTTTAATTTGAAGATCTTCGGAGGACAGCCGGTTAAAAATCGAGCCAAAAGAGGTTTTGGCCATTGGCCAGTGAACCTGGAAGTGGCCCCTGGAAGAACAGCTACCCCTGCACAGCTACCCCTGCGTACAACCCCCACACAGCAGGGCTTTTCCAGGGACCCCAGACCTACAGCGTGTGTTTCTGTGACCCGCGTCCCGTCTCCTGTAGGCTCAGGTGGTGCAAGGAAGAGCCGAGTGCTCTGCCGTGGGTTCGAAGACATTTGCTCACCACAGGGAAACGGGGCCTGTGGCCACCCCAGCCCACCGAGGGCCCTGGCGGCTGTGGGCCAGGGCTCCCCTCGCACCTCCTCTCGCCCTTCCGGGAGCGCAGCTCTCCCAGCTCATTGCTCCAGGCCCTCTTCTAGTAGTTCATGGCTCGTCCCCACTCCCAGCCCGGTCCCAGGCTCACTCACCTTCTCACCCTTTCCTCTCTCCTCTACTCCCCAACCCGTTGCCTTTCCCAGTTTTTTCCCCACCTTCCCCAAGCGATACTCAGCAGCTTCCACCATGCTCTTCCCCTCAGTTTGTTTCCTGGGAGTCCCGAACTGGCTTCTTCCCACTTTTGGTCCCTCAACTTTCCTGTGGCCATTTTGACCAGTTTCCGTGACCAGAGTCTGACCTCCTCCCCTCCACATCCCAGCCGCCTTTCCTCACGCAGCAGCCCCTTTCTTCAGCTCCTCCTTTCAGGACCCTTCCCCTTGCTCCACCTCACCCAAGGAGATTCCTTTTCCACTCACCTCCCCTCACCATGCATAGGGGGAAGTGGAACCACACTCTCACATCCCACAACATTAAAATTTACATTACAATTAAAATAAACATTACAATTTAATGTTGTGGGATGCAAGTGTCTTGAATTTTGGAAGGAAACCTGTCCAGATGCAGTCTGGGGCACGTGTTTGGAGCAGGCGGACTCTTCAGTGATGTTCATTGTACTCCAGTAAACCTGCACAGAGCATGTGAATACTGCCCCGCACACACACACTTCCCAATAATATACTTTGGTTTACTTGATGCAGATTTTCACAAGGCTAGCTAGAAAAGCCACAGCGCTGAAAGACTCTTCCCCCTCACCCATCAAATTCTCACACTCCTGCTGGGGTACAAGACTTCTTAAATTATCAAGAATTTTTTTTCTTGTTTTCCTCTGGCTTTCTTCTTGGAAACAATGAATCATTGTAGAAGAAATTAAGAGAAAAAAATAAAATCAACTGAAGTAGGCATGTGGTCTAGAACAGTTCATCCCAACTGGTTAAAATTTTGCCAAGTCACAAAGAACGGGAGCAGTCAGGCAGCTTTAACAATGCATAACATTACCTGACCCACCCATCGTGACAAGGGAGAAGTCTCCCTTGTGCTGGGGCTGTGCGCCCCACACAAAGTGCTTGGAAAGTGTAAACCTGTAATTTCTGTTAGAGAAAATTTCACTGAAGTTTCTTAATTACTGTGTCGTACCTTCAAATTGGCCATTCTTGCTGTGTCCTTGTGTGAGAGGGAAGATGAGTCTGTGGCCTAGAAAGTTTTAATTCTAGTCTTTAACACAGAGAAACTATTTATACAAATTCATAGATCAGCATACCCAGGTGCACCAGTGGTTCAAATATAGCAGTTACTTCTAAGAAGGTGCAAGAAGCTCTAGTAGACAATTGCAGCACCCCAGGCCACAGCTGACTGTGCAAAAGGAGATCTCTATTGTTGTTAGATAAACACTACACAGCTTTGGTCATGCATTTCCCACCAAAAAAAAAAAAAAAAAAGAGGAGACAGAAAAACCACTGAATGCACATTGCAGGTATTCCCAGATGTAGTAAGGAACAGAGAACAGCATCAGAAGTGCTACAGTTTAAGACTTGTTTTTGGTTAGATACTAATGACATTACGAAACTACCAGATATTAAATAAGTTATGGTCACAGCTGGGACTCTAACAATTTAGTTTAAGTGAAACTGAAAGAGAAACAAAAGTATGCATGTAACAAGTCTTCAATTTCAGAGGCACAAATTGAGGGCTATAGAAACTATTCATTAGAGTAAGTCCCTCCTTAAGTGGTCTATTTACAACAAAAAGTGTGTAGGCAAAGGTCAGAGTGAAGATCACCAAAACTCCACTGAAAGAAACCTTGTAAGTAAAATAAAAGCGAAACATCGGAAGATTTTTCATGAAATTACAAAAGTAAAGAGAAATTGAGTCCATTATACTGCAACAGTAGAGGTTTAAAATAATGCACATGTGGCTCTGAAACTTATTTTGTTTTCCATTAAGATGACACAATTTGATCTTTAGGGGAAAGGCAGTATAACTAATGGGGATCCTGGTATGAACGTGACTAGGTCCAGGGCAGAAGGAAAACTCCAAGATGCAGTTTATTCCGTTTCAGTGGACCCTGCTTGTTTCCTACATTTCCTTACACCAGAGATCACCTCAGCATAGCTGTGGGCGCACAGTAGCAAGCTGCAGGCTACTGTAGCGTTTCTCTTCGCCTGGGCATTACGCATCCAATGGACAAGCTTGTACGTATGAATTTAGTTGGGGGTTTTTCGTTAAGATCTCAAAACTTCAAAGGCTACATCATCTGGTGGCAATCCTTCTGTTCAGCAGTGACCACACACAGTGGCTGAGGAACAGCATGTTTTTTTTCGTGCCTACCACCACTCCCCTGAGAAGCCCGAGCTGCCTCTCTGGCGAGTCCCACCGAGGAAACCCAGGGGCTGCTCTCAGGCTCTGGCCACACTTTGTGCACGGCTGCTCGTGCTCCAGGTCCTAGCAGTTGTCACAGCAGTCCTCAGTGGAAACAGTTTTTCAGTTTACACGTGGATTTTTATCCAGGCCTAGCCCCACATAAAATCTGTTCTGAATTTTGCGGTTCTTTTTCCCCTTTACAAATCTTTTTTGAGGTCTATAAAAAGAATCCGCAGAGTAACTACCCGTATGCGGTGCATATCTCTGTGTTTGCGGTGTACCTGGAGGTGTATCTTCGGGAGGTGTATCTTGGGGAAGTTCGGACTGGACATTAGGAAAAGGCTCTTCACCAAGACGGCGGCTGCTCGCCAGAACAGGCTCCCCAGGGAAGCGGTCACGGCACCAAGGCAGTCAGAGTCCCAGAAGCGCCCGGACGATGCTCCTGGTCACCTGGCTTAGTTCAGGTAGTCCTGCGAGGAGCAGGGAGTTGGGCTCCATGATCCTTCTGGGTCCCTTCCAGCTCGAGATGATACCCGCTGAGGCACGGCTGCTCCGGGCCCGCACGGCTGCGAGGAC